TCTCCCAGCCCTGTCAATGGCTGCCCTGCCTGGCCCCAGCCTCCTGGCTCTTAAAAAATAAATAAATAAATAAATAAATAAATAAAAAAGCCCCACACTCACCTACTGCTGCCATGTGGGGGGGGGGGAGAGATCCCCACTGCCCCCACTGCCATGAGCCCCAAGAAGCCCTGACAGCTGCTGCAGCAGCCAATGAGTGCGGGGTTTTGGGGGGGGGGGGTTTCAGGAACCAGGACACTGGTGCTAGGCAGGGCAGCCACTGATGGGGCTGGCAGAGCAGGCAGGGGATGGGGGCTCATGGCAGAACCCCCCACGCAGTGTGGGGCAGTGGGGAGTAGCAGGAATTGCCCCCCTGCCTAGCAGCAGCTGGTGAATGTGGGGCTTTATTATTTATTTTTTTAAGTGCTGGGACGCTAGGGACAGGCAGCGCAGTCATTGATGGGAGAGCAGGTGGGGGTCAGGGGGCACTTGGGGGGCTGGGGTAGCAGATAGGGAATGGGGCCAGGCAGGGGTCTCCCCATGGTCCCTGCCCTCCTCCTCCAGCCCCCCCCCACTTACTGGCACGGAATCTGGGTCCAGCTCCCTGTGGCAGTGAGTGGGGACCGCCCAAAACTCTGAAACTCTCCGAATCTTTTCTGAATCAATTCGGAGAGCTTCGAATTGATTCGGACCTTTTTTATTGGTCTCCCAATTCGATTTGGATTTGGAGATTCAGCTGCCATATCGGGCCGAATCTCCTCCAAATCAAATCAGCACCCAACACTTTGCACAGGCCCTAATGTATACGGTTGGGATTTAGTCTTAAGGCAAATGAGATACAACTCCTCTTTCCTTTTCTCCCAGAGGTAGAGGTGACATTATATTTTATATACAGTGAATTTGAATGTCTAATTTCTTACTCCAACAATACTTGAGAGTAACTAGCTGCCCACTGCATCTTATCTAACAATCTGCCAATGTTTTCAAACATAGCAAAAAACATTAGTCTGGTGTTTCTGCTAAAATGATAAGCAGTGAGATGTTAGTTATTGCTAACATTTAAATTTCCATCAAGTCTTTGCAATTTATGGTCCATAGAGATAAATGGGAATGTTTACAGTATTTCAGGTTCTCTGCACACTCAGGCAGACATTCCGACATTGGTTTGTATCTTCTTCACATTTGGAAATTTGACATTGCAGCCATACAAGGAACAATGTATGCATTGTTTTATCACTCTCCCACGTATGTTATGTACACCTCAGAAAAAAAGAGCAGAGCACTGAATTTTAATGAGATTTGGGCTCCTAAATCCCTACTGATCTTCTGAAAATCCCAGTCTGAAACATTTCAGATAAGAAAAGAGTGGACCAAAACAAAAGGAAACCAGGATGTACATTTTTAAACCCCTGTTCTTTATAAGTAGTTACGCAAACAGCTGGGTCATAAATTCAAGCAAGAAAAAAAAAAGACGACGACAGAATGAAAGAATAAATCAAAACATAGCTTACATCAAACAAGGGACAAAACTTAATACAGATTATCAACTGTGAAAAAAGAATCCAAATCTTAACAGGCTAGCCTATTTTTTTAATGAACACTTTAGAAGTGTTACCACTGCAAAAGTGATACAAATAACATTTCCTGGATTACTGCATATTGCAGAATGGTATTATTTCTGTGAAAAAGTTTCTCCTCACTCAATAACTGTCACCCACTAGCATTATGCTGCTCATGGGACATTGGGTTTGTTTGTGCTTGTGAAATATACATACTTATAAACCACCACAGAGCTATGAAAATTAAAGAGCTTAAAAAGTCAGTAACCGCTTGAAAGAATGATCAAATTCTAAAGGATTATTGTGATTATATTCCATCAAATGGTAAAAGCTCATGTTTTTAGACTTCCCATTCTAACTCATATGGTTGGAATAGGGTCAACCAGGTTTAAGTGTTATAACTGGTGCCTTTTAAATTTCCTTTGCGTGACATCCTGAAAGCAATTACATCAGATCAAGGAAAGGAGAAGCATGGTTAACAGACTTAGCAATGTGTTAATTCAACCATGAGGAGGGAAACTCATTGAGTTGAACTTTAAAATATAATTGGGTAATAAATATTCAGTTGCAGGTAACAGAAAATAAAAGAAATGTACTCAACAAGTATCAGTTTTATTGTAGGTTTTTTTTAAAGCAACTCTAATAGCAGTGCTCAGTTTCAATGTGTAGAGAATCCAAAATAGTGATTACTTAGAACTTTGGGGCAGACCAGCTGGTCTTTGTTCTGTTCTGTGATCTGGAACATAGGGTCCAGGTCCATGCCTACAGTCTTTGGCATTGTGGTTAAACAAATCAATAATGCATAATCATGTTTCACTGCAATTCTATTAGCCTTCCCTTATTCTAGGATTTTGGGTAGGGCATTCTTTTTATACAGAAGGTAAAATGGGATTTTTCATGAAAATTTTCACAAAAAAAAAGGTTGCAATTAAAAAACACTGTAAATTCAAAATGTCTTCACAGTTCTAATAATTTAACCTTACTGGTCCAAATGTTTAAAGGGACAATTATGAACAGTTTATAAAGGAATCATATGAATAAGTTTACTAGGAATATACAGATACTTACAAGTGTGTTAAAGCATTTTGATGAACTGATGCTTTTAACAGAACTTCCAGCTACTAACTACCATTCACTGATTTAGGAAACTTGAGAAGGGAAGCATAGTAATACCTAAGAAGAGAGGATAAACATCTACGAATGACATATGAGCAGGAGGTTAAACATCATGGACAACTGCAAGGACTAAGGGCTCCGGGTGTGGAGGGGACGGCGCTTTAATTAGAGCAGCTCCAAGAGCCACTCTAATTGAAGTGCCACAGTGCCTGATGAGATTTAGTTAAAGCACCCCCACCGCTATTTTGAAATGTGGGGACACTGATACACAAGACATGGGAGACTGCTGGAGCATGGTAATTGTCATGTTCCAGCAAACTTGATTAATCAAGTCTGTTCCAACACACTGTAATTACAGCACATCAGAGCAACCTCCACGCTTATGTACAGCTTAATTGTCCAAGTTTGCACTTTATTCAAAGACGATTTAGTTGTGAACTTCCTTTAGCAATTACTCCTCCATGGTAGATGTCTTCTTTGCTAAGTCATCTGACAGCAGTGCAATGGTAATAACTAAGTGAGTGGGTAGCAATATAAAATAAAAAAATATCAGTGATACATTGTCAAATGTGTAAAAAAAATTGTGATG